GTTACCAACAGGGAGTTCAAAGGCATTCGCCTATCTTTCCCTCAATAAACTGTACTGATTCTGTCATTTGAGAGCATTCGAAGGCGCGTGGGCTGAAAAGCGATCCAGAAAAGGAAGAGCGTTTATAAACTATGCGAAAGAAACGTGAATACTTGAAGAGAGGGAGAAGCTGAGAGCCGAACAGCAGGAGAATGCCAGAACAGGTAAGTAACTGAGACGGACACAAAGCAGTGAAAATGAAAGCAGGGGTGGGGGTTTAATTTACCTCCCAGAGTATCTTATTTTTCGCATATCTGTCCACTTGCTTCGTAAGAGTAGGCATGTTTTAGTTTTACAGGAAATCTTAGTACATCACCACACCACCGTTGACTGCCACGGGCTCTGTCCGCCCGATTAAGTCTCAAGGCTCAGCGGGACAATAGTGTCTCCTAACGCTATAGGTGAGCTCCCAGTCGATAGGACAACTAGTCCGTCGTCCCGCGATTAGGACGATCAACCTGTCACCAAGAAACTGTGGAGTTCCAGTTGAAGGTTTTGCAACACTTGGGGTTGTGTATGACTGGCCGACTGACTGATTGATGACGGCTAATAAGCCAGAAATGGCCGCATTCCAGACTGCCTTAACTATGTAGTTAATCTATTTCTATCTATCAGTTACGAGTCCCTAAACGGTTGTTCGCGGGGCTCAATATGGACTCCTAAGTCACAACGGCACGATTTTGCGCCGTAACTCGGATTGTAGTAGTGTCTCACTACTACTACAGTAACAGGACAGACTGCTCACGCCCTGGTGCCTTTTGAGGCTCACACTCAAGCCACGCTACAAGGCAGCTAATGATAAAGGCAAAAGAACATTACCAACAAAGAAGAGGGGGACTAGGATGACCATTTCTGGTTTGCTAGCTGTCGTCAGTCAGTCATACCCAACCCCAAGTGTTGCCACAGCGAATGGTGCCCCATTTGAGGTTCGAACCCTTGAGCTTGTTAGTTAGAAGTCCAACTATAATATTGTCATAGCCCAGTTAGTTCGGCGTCGCCAGTTGTTATAGCCTAGTATTTCGAACCCGGCTAGTAGGCAGAAGAAGGCAAGAGAGCCGTCCTGATAGGCAATGGCTTTATTCAACCGTACACAAAGACTGTGGGGCTTGCGAGACTGTCCGGTCCGTCGGAGTCCTCCTTTAGCTTGTCAACTCCGGCAAATTTATACGGCTCCGGTCTTTCCCGAATATTCCTAGCCTATGGCCTGCTCCCAGACCTTCTAAAATAATCTTGACTACGCCGACTGCGCCTGCTATGTGGGTGGTCGTCTGGCTTTCTTGACTTACGACGTATGCGTAGGCGTAGGCGTCTGTCATGAGGGCGTGAACTACCCCAGGCGGCCCTTTTCGCCGACTGCCGGGAATGCAGGGGGGCTCCCGCCTCCGTAACAAATATACTAGCGAGTCCCAAGGCAAAATAGGACGAGTGATTTATGTAACTGATCGGTAAGCGCCTATCTAACGATCTAAATCGACAAGGTAACGAGTCCGTGGTTCCATGATTAGGACGATTGACTTCTTACCAAAAGGGTGTGAGGTTTGAGCCGCAAGTTTTGCAACACCTTAAGCTTGGGTATGGCTGGCTGATGACGGTTAATAAGCCAGAAATGGCCGTATCCCAGTCTTCCTTGCCTTTTCGATAATCTATATCTGCCTACAAGTTTATATGCAGGTATTAACTAAAACTAGCGCTTCTTACCTTTATTATTCAGATCAGTTCCCAGATAAAACCAGGCAAGGCGTAGGATTAAAATTTTGCCTTACTTCTGACCGGGTTTCACCAAATTATGACACACAACTGCTTAATTTTCGATTCATCATTCGATCATCCAGCGTGCTCCGAGTTTTTCCTCATTAATTCCACAGTCATCAAGGTTAAACTTTGTTTTAATTTTGGAGAAAGTATGACTGTAACTTGGAGGAAATACTTCTGAATGCAGCGTCTTAGCTGAAGTCCGAAATCTAACAGGAATACTCATGCTGAAGTTATCCATCAACTGCTACAGAGTAACCGCCTAGTATTCACACAGTCCCCAAGCAGTCAGCATTGCTTAAACTAAATCCCCCAAAATCTACTACTTTCATGACTTTCAGTAGGCGTTTCATTGTCACCAACTGCAGTTAAATTGACAATGAAAATTCGAATTCAAGCTGTAGATATCCCTCAGCTGCTGCGGAATAACTGCTTAGTACACACGCAGCGGTCGATAGCACGCAAATGTCATTTGGTTCGCACTACTGACAGACTGAATACCGGCTCATATTTAAGACAAAATTCGAGTCTTACTTCCTGAGTACAGCATTTATTTGCTGACCAAAAAGTTATGGTGAAAGTTTCAATCATCGCAGGAAACGATGTCAGCATTTCTTAAATAATATTCCCCAAATCTACTACTTTGAATGTTTTCAGTAGGCATTTTATTGTCCATTAAACTGAAAGTAAAAATTCGAAAAATCCCGGAGATATTAGTGGATTCGCACAAAACAGTGCAGGCAAGCAAACTATGCGCTTCAAAGCTATGAATTAGATGGAGTGTTAGAGAGCAGAAGGAATCACATCATGCACCGGTTAAGATATTTTCTGCCCTACTGAAGCACCTACGCCATCAAAATCATCCGGTTACTTTGGAACGTTTGGAAGGCTGCCTCTGGATCGCAGATAGGCCTTTATCACGATACCCACAAACACCCCGGCCACGAGGAATCCAACGATGAGAAAGAGGCCAGACCAAAGCCGGCTGGAGGCGGGATCAAAGGGAAGGTCCTCTTCGCATACAGGTCTGAAGATCAGTCGCTCATCGAAACAAACACCAAGGCTGGGGTGGGCGAAGAGGTGCCGGCAGTTGGTCGCGCCCCGTGGACAGATGCACACTCCCGAGGGAACTAGGAGGACAAAGAAGTTTTTAGAAATTGAAAAATAATGACAAGCCTGTAGAGTGGTATTTAACTCACGGAGGGTATTTATTGTGGAGGGGGGTTGGGGGCTGATGAATGACACCAGGAGTCAGGGGGCGTTGGCTCCTTCTAATCCCCTGGTCAGCACGTCTGCTGTCATCTTTCTAAAGATCGGGGTGGACATCGTCGAGAGCGACGGTCGAACTGTCGGGGGAGGGGGGAGAGGGGGGGAAAATTGCAGACCCACAGCTTTACCGCACTTTCCATGATCAACTTGTCAAGCTAGGCATGTACAGTAGCGTCAAAGACCATGCAACGTTCATGATGAAATTCGGCTTGGCACTTTAGCATATATTTGAAAACACTATTGTGGTTAACTGAGTTCATTCAATTCTGCAAAAACTTTTTCGTTCGGAAAATCACCGTTTTCTTTAGGTTTATTAAGAGAAATGGACATTAATTTTCGCGGAAATGAGAGTTGTCTCATATCGAAGGAACTTCCTATGCTAATACGTATGACAGAACCAAACTTCTTATTAATGTGCATTATACTATGGAGTAACTCCAAAATAAAATAAAAAGGTATGAAACATATCTCTGCCAGAGCCGGAAAATGTTGTCCGAAATTGTTCAGATGGAAGTGAGTTCAGGTTGAAGGAATCGCATTTATTTTCGGAAACAAGGAAGAATTCCGCTTCTAAATATTTTTTGCTATTCTGTGTAGTTTTGTGCCACTCAATACAATAATAAATTGGTATTACAAAGTTGTTTTACCGTAGCGATAACTATGAGCGTGGGCTCGATATAGAAACGAGAAGGCGCGATATATGTCCTTTTCTTGGGGTCG